AGGGGTGGTATTTATAATGTTTTAATCACTTCTAACAAACCTTTCAAATTGTGAAGGACCAAGTGCAACTTTACTATGGGCTGAGTTTGCAAGTTTGCCCCAACATTTTATTGACCCTATCAGCCTGGTTCTTATTAGGCTTGGGCAACAGGCCCACCGAGCGCATGAGTATTGACGACAACCTGGTTGAGTTTGATTCATCTCTATTTTGACAAAAGTGGGAAGATTCAAGATTCACAAAAAAAATATTCCACAAAATAACATTTTCAAGAGATTCTAATTGAATCTTTCTTAATTACACGCAATGATGCAAATGGGAAGGTAAAAGGTTGCCATATCAGTGTCATATTAAATATCCTATAATGGTAGGGCCACAAATGATGTCTGCCACTAATGCATTCACAACCATACTAGAATGCTTCCTCTTATTGGTCCGGCATCATTCATAAATTATACCATGGTTAATTAACTCCATAAGATTAAGCCAAAGATTGATAAACAATTGTACAAGTACAAGTGTTTTTTAACTCTTGGTTTACACAAATGATGTCAACTTAAGACCAAAATGTAAAAGAGGACATATAAACAAATAACATATGCACAAGATCTACCCCCAAAAAGAAAATAGCATCAATGATTCAAAACTCCTTGAGACGTCATCTTTGGCCCCTTGTTTAAGAATTTGGGACACTCGAGTTGCAACATCACCTCCAAAGTAGCTTCCCCTCTTTGTGAAGGGTTACTCTTGCATGGCCCCATCTCTTATCTTCCTCTTTCTTTGCTTCTTATATTAGGAGCTGAAACAACCTTTTCAACACCAACTCAATATAGAGAGAGGGTAAGTTGGTTTTTGGTGCTCGTGCAAGATCCTACTTGGGGTGCACACACACAGACCTAGATATAGAAGAAACTCAAACTCCCTCTCTAGTTATAGCTAGATATAATAATTAAGGAAGAAAGTGCTATTTATACCACCATTAACATATTAGCAATCCCAAAGTGAGAACACAAGTGGCAAAATTCAATGGAGGCTAAGACTAAGATCTTGTATGAAGCGCTTCCATTCATAGTGATGGTGATTATGGAAGGTTGGACCATAGGGCTGACTAAGTGGCAAAATTCAATGGAGGCTAAGACTAAGATCTTGTATGAAGCGCTTCCATTCATAGTGATGGTGATTATGGAAGGTTGGACCATAGGGCTGACTATTTTTGCAAAAACTGCAATAAGTAATGGAATGAGTCCATTTGTGTTCATTGTTTATACCAATGCTCTTGCCACTATAATACTGTTCCCTTGTTCCTTTTTATCACAGCAAGAGGACAGGTCTATCTCTTTTTCTTTTCCATGTACCTAGCCTCAAGTTGTTGCATGGAGGATTTGTTTTGGTTCTGATCTTCAATATTCTCTTTTTTCCACAGAAAGGAGAGGCCACCTTTCACTTTCTCTTTGTTCATGCTCTTCTTGTTCCTCGGTTTTACAGGGTATATCTATATATATATATATATATATATATATATATATGTACTCTCTCTCTCTCCCTAGTGAGAGCCTTTGTAT